TTGCGCTCCTCCATGTAGCTTCCATCACAGTTACTCTGACTTGCCCAGGTTCGGAGCAGCTTTGCCTGCAGAGCTGCATTTAGGGCAGAGCTGAGGCCACCGAGGATGTCCAGGACCACCAGCATCCCCTCGCCCCGCAGTGGAGGTGAGGAAGCATCCCCACTTCTCGGGGACCCACGGAGAGGGCAGAGGAAGCCGTTGCGTCGGGGAAGAAACGGAGCGAGATACCATCTCACCGGATGGTCCCTCCTCCTCGCGTGGCTTTGTTTCTGTCTTTCACCCTCCGTACCCGGCATTGTTAGCTCCCGAGGCCCCTCCAGCTGGATGTAAACACAACTATTTGCGTCTGCCGCCGTGCGCCCTCAGAAGAGCCAGGAAAGCGCAGAGCGTCCGGCGGGCAAGGGTGGAGCCCTCTGCAATCAAGCGCGATGGTCTCGCCGCTTTTTCTTTCCACGTTTTGTGTTTCCCCGGACCCTTGGGATGAGATCACATCCTCTGCTCCCAGGGTTATTATGTCTTCAGACAGGCAGGATGAAGCCGGCCGTCTGGGTGGCTCGGTGTCCCCGCAGACGGGGTGGCTCTGTCCCCGCGCACCCCGGGATCCCCCTCGCACAGCCCCGGTGGTCCCACGAGTCAGGGCCCCCACCTCCAGCCTGGGTGCCTAATGGGAGCCACCGGACTGGCCTGGCTGGCTTGGTGAGTGACCAGGTTTTCTTCGTCATTGTCTCCAGTAATTGCCTTTTAATGGTTTCCATCTTCGTAGGAATCCCTTCTGCTGTTCCAGATCCGGGGAGCGAGAGTCATGTTTCATGGTTTCCCTTGTCTGCAGTGGAAAGGAGTAGGAGGAGTTTCCCACGGCTGGGTACAGGGTTTTGTTCCTCTGGCCTTAATTCAATTTGCTGTTAAGTATCTCTTGTTTGAGTTCCTCAGGAGCCCGACAAGGAGGATAACCAGCATTTTGGTTTACTTGATGCAATAAACAAACTAATCTCTGCTTACCATCCTCCCGGGGAGTTCTGGTTGGGTAATAGGAGAACACAAGTCTCCTTGGCTGAAATCAGCATGTCCCTGTAAGGCAAGTAGGTGCCACCAAGCCAATTCCTTCAAGCTGTCCCAAATACATTAGGGAAAAGCCTTGCATGGACACAGCAGCCGTGCCAGCACGAGCAGATCCAGCCCAGAGCTTCTCTTGAGGCCAGCAGTGCCCTGTGCTGGTGGCCTCTTCCTAGCAGAGCGAGTGTGAATCACTATCAGCATCTTCTCTAGGGGGCTGAGACCAGGCTGTCCCTGTCAGGAATTTGGGAAGAGGGACCTCTAGGTGAGACGCAGGGGTTGGTGGCACCTTGTGCATCTTCAGGGGGCTTGAAACCTTCACTGCATGAGCAGAAGGCCATATGGGGACAAAGACCATTTCCAGTGGGACAGCTCAAAGCTGGATGGCAAAGAGTTGGGTGAGAAGGGTCTCATGAGACAGGCTTCTGCACCCCCCCATCAGCTCCACAGGGGAAAGGTTCCCCAAACACATCTCACCTTTGGTCAACCTCAGCATCAAATGGCTCAGCAGAGCAGATGCTGCTTGTGACAGTGGCCTCCAAAAGGTCTTCTGTTTCCAAGTTCTCACTTGGTTTTTCACCAGATTCTGGACTCCCCTGACGTGCCTAGCTCAGGGCATGCCCTGCATGGCATTTGGTGCCCCATAAATTGGCACTGGCACAGTTTGTTGGGGGGTGCAGGGTCAGCCCGGCTGACACCGGTGGCCAGGATGAGGGAACTGATACTTGTGATGGAAGCAGATTGTAGAAATCCTGCAACTGGCCTTGCTGGGAGGGTGTTCTCTAATTACTCATCCCCCACACCCTCATTTGTGCTCTGCATTTTCTGCATTGATGTCCTTCTGCAGAGAGCCCGGGAAGCGCAGCCCCTAATTTGCGGAGGCTTTTGCTGCCAGGAGGATCCATCCAGCAGGACGTGGGGCTTCCAGGAGGGGGCTGCCAGACCTGGACCCCTACCCCAGCGGTGCCGTGAGCCCCCCAGCAGCTGCTTTGGGCGGCTCTAATTAGCTCTGTGCCTTGCAGGAGGAATGGTGCTGTGGCCGTGGGGGGCTCTGTATGTGTTTGGCTGCTCCCCCTGCCCTTCCTGGTGGGCAGAGCTGCAGAGCACGATCCAGCCCGCGTGGTTTGGCGATAAGCAGGGACTGCAGGGCAGGTTCTCCATCCTGCTCGTGGCGTGGGAGTGCTGTGTAAGCGCTTCAGCCTCCCTGCAGCTCCAGCTGGCTCTGGAGAAAGCGGGTGATGAGCCCGTGGTTTATGTGGCTGGGGAGCGTGGCTGGCTCCTGGTGCTCTGCACCAGCTGCATGCGAGCCCCTTGCCATTCAGAGGGAGATGACCAGTTCTCTGTGGCGAAGCCCAGCTGAAATTTTGGGGCCTCTTTGCCCCCTCAAGCACCGCTGCATACCCATCCCATGAGACATCCCTTTGCAAGGACTCCCTTCCCTCAGCAGAGGAAGGAATTGGGGGATGAACGCCCTGCACCCCGTGCCCTCCCCATCCCCCTGGTACCCCCTGCACTCCCAGGAACAGCCCCTCGGGTTTATTTTCACCAAGACATTTAGCACCCATCGCCCAGCGGGACGCAGAAATTCGGGAGCAGGAGCCCTCCCTCCACAGAGACGCCTGCAAAGCTGTTCGTCCGGCACCAGCAACAAAAGTGAGAAGCCTTTCGCAACCGAGGCTGGGTATTATATGACCGGCCGGGCAGATTCTGGCATGCAGCCTCCGCTGTTAGGAAATCGAGCAGACTCTTTGTCTGCTTTCCAGCAGGAACTGCTTCTTTCGCTCGCCCGATATGGGGAACCGGCTGGAGAGCAAAGGGAAGCTTTCTCGCAGCCAGCCCGAGCCTCGAGGGGATGATTACAGACTGAGCAGCACTCACCTGCTCCTTCCCCAGCTCCCTCGCCCGTGCTGGGCAGCCAGGGCTGAAGATTTGTTAGCTCAGAGGTTGGACTAGGTGATCGTGGAGGTCCCTTCCAGCCTAGGTGATTGTGTGATGCCGTGGAAGATGTGGGAACCTGCTGGAGAGAGACCTGGTGGGGCACGGACACATCCCCGCAGCAGGGAGGAGCAGCTATAGATACTTAAATAAATAATAATTCCGGTGTGGGAGCGCTAAGTTAATAGGTATAGCCTGTTTGCATCAAGGTATTTTGAGTAAATATAAATCAGATTACGATTGTAGGGTTTGGAGCATGCAAAAGCCACGGCTGCAGGGCCGTGGTGTCCCTGGTGGCCGAGGAGTGCCCGTCCTGGCACAGCCCTGCTGCTGTGACCTGGCTGTCCCAGGGACATCCCGGCAGAACAGGGAGTGACATCTCCTTTTGTCCATGGGTAAATAAGGCAAGTTTCCCCTTTAGCCAAATCTCTGTGCCTCAAACAGTCTTTGACTCACCCACACGACCACTTTTTGAAGCAGGCAAGAGCATCCCAGCCCCGTGGCTGGGAAGCCGGGGTAAGGAAAGCCCAAAGTGAAGCTGCATCTTCCCCTGGCCACATCCCACCAGGGTCACCCGAGGAGAACGCCGCAGAGGAAGGACAGGAATCAGGACACAATGGGACCTTCCTAATTGCCTCAGCAGTTAGAAAATCATCCCCCAATTTACAGACTGAGTCTGTCTGCGTGAAGCCAAGGGAGGAGAGCATCAGTTTCTGCAGCCCTCTCCCTGTTAGCTTGCTCTACCTCCACGGTTCTGGCTGTAATTTTCATGCTATTTGCTTCACTAACAACTACCAAACAGGAGAGATGAGTGTGTGTTAACTTGCAGCCCCGCTCCATTCCGTGCTCACAAGCCAGTCTCCATTAAATACCCCAGGAACATGTTTTTGGGCTACCGCCTGTTTATATTTCTCCCTGGTGGAAATATATATATTTTTTGTTGGGTTTAAAGTAATCTCATGTTTTGTTTTGTGTTTTTTTTTTTTACAAAGAATCTGTGAACTATTTGTAAGAACTTATCTCAGAGCGTGCGGCTGGGGCTTAGCTAACGTTTCCCAAACAACTCAGCGGGACGATAAACTAGGGGGAACTGCTGCCTGTATTTGGCTAATGTGAGACAAAACCGACGGGCCCCCATGCTCGGGCAGGTGCTGTAACCATCGGCTTCAAAGCAAACAAACCTCTGCCTGCGGGAAGCAGAAGAGAGCGAAGACAAAACTTTGAGACCTGTGTGAATTCCCCGAATTACCTCTTTTTCTCCTAGCTTTTTCCAGCGGTTGTGGGCCTGTAAACAAACCGGCGTTTATTCGTACAGGAAGGGAAAAGAGGAAAAAATGAGTGGGAAGGAGAGACGGCTACGGCTGAGCAGCAGAGCTGCGGCGTTAACCAAGGAGTGTGACTTGGGAGCAAACCCGTTTGTGCATGGGCAGCTGTGCTCAGTCCAGCCACTTTTCCCAAGTTTGCCTCTCCCTGATGAATTTCAGACACTAGTGAAGTCGGTTTTCCCGATTTTTCTCCATTTTCTCCACGTTCAGTGCGTGCCACCACCTGTGATTTATCAGGCACCTCGCGGCAGCGCGTTGCTCACAGCGCCCCGGCTCCCTGCTGAGAGTCTGCTTGGGAAACAACCCAAACAACCCGGCTTTATCTCTGTGGTTTGAGCAGAAAGCCTGAAACGGCGTCCTCATCTGCACAACAAAGTCAGAAAGCAAAGATGACAATAAAGAAGCGTGTGCTAGCAAAAATATGTGCAGTTTTGCTCCGTTTTCACTCACGGCCCCTGGTTTTGTGGGGTCGGACAGGCTGAGCTCCTGCACTATGGCCATCCGAGGGCTGTGTTTCTTGGCCGTGTACGTGGAACGAGTGCATTTTCCTATTGCCCGCCGGGGGGATAAAAAAAAAAGCATTGTTAAACTAATGGAAACGTATCCTGAAAGTTGTGCATCTACAAGATCCAGCGGGAGGGGGAGGTCGCATGTTTCCACTCACCCCCTCTCTCCTCTCTCTTGCAGTTGTTGCAATCTCAGGACGTGAAGGAGGACGCCGTGCTCTGCTGCTCCATGGAGGTAGGGAAGCTCTGATGCCCTGCTCGTTGCTCTGCCCCTTCTGTCCTTGGCTTTGCACATCCCCAAACCCAGAGCCACGTCACCCAGCTGCATTAAACCCAAATCCAAAAGACAGCACCATGGGATAAGAGAGGAGGCTCTGTCACTGTGCTTTCAATGTGTGCAAATGCATGCAACCAAATTTGCTCGCTGGGGTCCCACCACAAAACTAATTCCTGTCATCCCGGTTCCTTTGAATCTCTTCCAGATCCCTTCAGATCTCACACTGTGGTATTTTTAAGCGCAAAAACACCTGTATTGGAGCAAATCCTATCACGCTGCCTTTGCTCGTGCAGTGGCTCCCGCAGAGAGGCTCGGTGTGCTCAGAAAGCTTTGCAGAGAAACGATGGCACAAATATAGCAGGGGTGGAATTGCAAAGTTTTCATTAGCTTTGCTTTTTGGAAGTGATTGGCCTGTGGGGACTGGTGCTTGCCTTGCAGAGAGAGACTGAAGTAGGCTGCAAAATAGCAGCTGGATGGTTGAAATTCAGCAAAGCGGCAGGCGGCTGAAGAGGAGAGCTTGCATTTTTTAGGTCAGGGCTTCTGAGAGCTCTCCGATAAATCCCTGATGCCCCCTGAGCCTCAGGTGATGGAGGCCTCGTGCTCTCTGATCTGAGGTGGGGCTTGCGACAGGTAGAACTGCAGAGCCAGGCGCTGTGCAGAGGGCAGGCAGGATTTGTTATGCATGCAGGAGAGCCCTGCTTAGTCAGATTAATGACTGGGAGTCACTGGCAGCTGTGAATCAGCGCGTAAATGAGGGAGCAGGTAAGAGGCAGGGATACCACATCACAGCGCGCACTTTGTTTTGACAATAGCCTGATTTTTAGGTGGGATTTTTCAAAAGCGCCCGGTGCTGCCGCCTTTGAAGTCAGCGGGAGCTGAACCACTCACTCCTACGGCGAGCGCTTTCGAAATCCTCGCCCGTAGCGCGCGGCTCTGGGCAGCACCGGGGAGCTCACCAGCAGCAGCATCCCAGCATTGCCCGGCCTGGGGAAAGCTGGGGGAGTGTGAAAAAAAAATAAATATATAAGAGCAGGCTGCATATTGCATATTTTTGGACAACAGCCCTGCTTTGTAAATATTGCCTCGCTGCTGCTGGGGTCGGCTTGCGTCCCGCTGCCCTCCTGCCAGCATCTCATTTTCGGCGGTGCCGAGCAGCGATGTGGGAGGATCCCCCCCAAAAAAAAACACAGCGGCAGCACAAGCTTTAACGTGCCGCCCGTGACCCCTCTGTCCCGACAGCTGCAGAGCACCGGCCGGCTGCTGGAGGAGCAGCTGCCCGAGATGATGACGGAGCTGCTGGCCATCGCCCGCGACAAGATGCTGTGCCCCTCCGAGTCCATGCTGACGCGGTCCCTCCTGCTGGAGGTCATCGAGCTGCACGCCAACAACTGGAACCCGCTGACGCCCACCATCACGCAGTACTACAACAAGACAATCCAAAAACTGACGGCCTGAGGGGCAGGGCAGGGAGGGGTGGGAAGGGGCGAGAAGGAGACATGCACCTTAGCGGGATCCGGCTCTCGCGGCCCGGCGAGCGCCTTTCTGATTTAAATACCCAAGCAGACAAACCCCAGCATGCTCGAGAATACGTTCGTGGGGTGGGGAGGGAGAAGCATGTTTCTTTTCAGCTGTGTCGCCAAGTGCCACCCCTCTTCCCTGCCGTGTTTTTGTTTTAGGGTTTCTTTTATGAAATCATTGCTCCAGCAGCAGCGCGTCCCGCCGGGTTATTGTTTGGCTTTAGAAAGAGGACGGCGAGTTGGAGGAGCGAGCCCGAGCGGGGGCTAGTATTGTTTTCACACCGTCCTCCCGGCTTGCCCTGGCCAACTGGCAGGAGACAGCACGCAGCAGATGTCCCGGGAGGACAAAGCGCGACACACACTACACCAGACGCTCATAATTGACGGCTTTTGTCAAGCGGAGCTTTCGTTATTTTTCCCCCCCCCTCCTCTTGTCTTCGACTTTCTGCTCCCCCACCTCCCCTCCGTCTACTCGCCGCCCCTTCGGACGCCGGCCGGCGAGCAGGATGGCTTTCTTATTTGCACTGGGTTTTATTTTATTTTTTTTTCTTGGTCATTTGTATTTTATTCTATTCTATTTTATTTTATTTTATTGTGAACGGACAATTGCGATCAGCGTGGAGGCGCGGGGGCGACGCCTTCCTGCGAGCTCACAAATGGTTTACGTGAAGATGCTGAAGTAGGAGGGGGATTTTTAAGGAGCCCAAAAGCCACCGTAGAAGTAACATAGCCACAGTCGTCTTGCCAGTAACCTCGCAGATTAACTGAAAAATGTGTGCCCTGAGCTGGGAGCTCCGAGAGACGCGGGGTGCTGCGGCTGCTTGCTCCGGCTGGTCAAGCCGCCGCATCCCCCATCCACTAAACTATAACCCATTTATTTTTTTGTAATTTTTTTTTTGTTTCCGTTGAAAGAGTGCTTTATTGTAATTACTGTCACAGTTGTAATACATTTAAAACCAGGCCCGTTGTAGTTGGGCCTAGCAATGTACAGGGCAACGGAGAAATGAAGACTTGATGTTCTTCTGGGGAAACCAGTAGAGAGAAGACAAGAAGTGCATGGCAAAAAAAAAAAAGGAGGGGAAAAAAAAAGAAGAGGAAAATGATGAAAAGCCAAAAATGCAGGTTTTGAGCCTGGCTTCTAACTGGCTGCATTTCCTATCCAGTATTTGTAGGTGTGCATTGTACAGGGGCAGCTGTGTGCCCTGGTTGGTGTAGGTGGTGCCATGTCCCCAAGCGTAGGGTGACGTGTTCGGAGGGAGCAGGGTGAAGTGGGAGCAGGGGGACCCCGCTTTGCTGGGTGCTGGGGAGGTGGGAGAGAGGGGAGGTGGGGGATAAGGGAGGTGGGAGAGATGGGGAGATGGGAGATATGGGGAGAAGGGAGATATGGGGAGAAGGGAGATATGGGGAGAAGGGAGAGATGGGGAGATGGTGGTGGATCTGGGGAGGCGTTCGCCTGGCAGAGCTGGAAGTGCCCTGAGCGTGGATGGCAAGTGAATGTCAACCAGCAGACATCAGGACTCGGCGTTTCCTTATTCACTTCTCTGCTGATGATGTCCACTCGAAATCCCTGCCAGTGCTCATTTTGGTGAAGTGGGAGAGGAGCAGAGGAGGCCCCGACCCCACGCTGCCATCCCGATCTCGGGTGCCTTAGGGAGCTGCCGGCGAGGCCAGGAGGCTTCCCCATGCACACGTCCAGGGGCCGAGCATCCTGGCCGTGTGGTGCAGCACAGCCTGAACTTCTCTTGAGTTGATCTACGGGAGCATTTTCTAATCCACACACGGAGCACGAGGAAAGGAGCTGGAAAGAGGAGCTTCAGCGGCCCGTGTCTGCACGGACCGATGTGGGCTGGGGATACAGGCCCGGCAGCCATGTCAGCACTGCCAGAGAAGAGCAGAGAGGCCGGGAGGTGTTAGCACGAAGCTGGACTGCATCAGGATCATCGGTGTTGGACAGCAGGGCCCTGCCCTTGCTCTTGGCCTCCCCAGCCCCACGGGGAGCAGAGGTGTGAAGGTCGGCATGGGCCTGGAGAGGCGCCGCCGGCAGCCCCGGCCAAGAGGCGTGTGGGGAGCCGGGGGGGGGGGAGCGAGGGCTTAAATTGAGCAAAAGGAGTGAAATTAGCCGTGGTGAGGACAATTTGTCACAGGGCCTGTGGTGTCGTGACAGCCTCTGACGTGCGAGCTGCACGCGGTCGGTCGGTGTAAATTAGGCCCCGCCGGTCGTTAGCGTTAATGAGGGGGCTGGGGCTGGGGAGGTGCTGCTGCTCCTTCAGGCTTTGGGGAGAAGGCTGGAGGAAAAGCTTTGTTGGTGGTTGGGTTTTGTTTTTTTTTTGAAGACCAGAAGAGCCTCCTCACACCCTGCTCCGCGTCCCTTGGGGCCTGCTCTCTGAACAGCAGCAAAAGAAGGAAAATAAATAAATAAATAAATAAAAGCAGAAAAGCCTGGAGGAGCTTCAGCCCGAGGCTTTGCCCTCCGTCGCTGGGATTTCTCCCGTGGAAGAGCTTTCCTGTGAAACCTGTCCTTTTCAATGTCTGTCTCTGCCGTTAGGGTCCGTTCATCCAGCCACTCACCGCTTGGTAACTCGGTACGTCAGTCGCTCTGTTGGTGCGTGAAAATCTTCATGTTGACCAAAAAAAGTATTTTTTTTCCCCGGAATTACCTGCTGCCGCTGGCATCCCTGCAGTCCCACGCTGGGAAGCCCATGGTTTAGCCCATGGTTTTGGGAAGGGAAGGTGCCACCGGCGAGGCGATGCGGAGGGGTGAGGGCAGCAGTGCGTTTTGGGGGCAGAACACCCTCCTTTGGCCAAATCTGTGTCAGGCCAAACCTGGGGCTGGTGTTAAGGACGTGGTGATGCCCAGAGCCGCCGGCTCTGCTCCCCGTGGAGCTCCCAGCACCCGGTCCCCTCCTTCCTAGCCAAATCATTGCCAAACGGGAGGCTTTGGCTGCCCACAAAGCGGGCTGCGTGGTTTCCTCATGAGGGATTTGACCCCCTCCTGTATGGAGAAGTCTCCTTCGTACGGAGGTGAAATGAGAATGGGGGAAAAAAGGCAAAGTAAGCGATTTGCCTGGTTCCCCTCTTCCCCCGAAGGAGATTAATTAGTATCTATTCTTGGCATGATTGATGGCTTTGAAGGAAAACTTGTCAGAATAACTCATGATTTATTTTCCTGCTTATTTTTATAACATCCCTCACTTGGAAGTCTCTCAAAATCTGAAATACGATTTTTATTTCCCCGCTGGGTATTTTATGGCTTTACACAAATTTTGCTCTTCTTGGTGTTAGCTGTTAGCCAGTCCCGGTGATACTTGCAGTATTTTTCAGGAGAAACGACTCTAAGGGTTGCAAAGTCCTGTTGATGGCCAACGGGGCTGTGGTGTCCTGCAGAACGTGGATTTAATGCTAGCAATTCATTTTTTAATGTATTTATTTGCATTTGAAAAAGCGACGTTTTTAATTTAATCATGTTTGTTAAACTAAGTGCTTAAAAAAAAAAAAAAAAAAGACAAAGGTTTTGGGGATTTTGGGGAGAATAAAGACTAGATCTTCATACTAGAGAAAACAAAAACTCATCGTTTTCAGCATTTCAGAGACTGTTAAAACAAGGGAGCTAATAACTCTTTGTGGCAATCCAGTCTTGTTTATAGAACATCCAAACCCACTGTATGCTATAAAATGCATCATCTGAGTAATAAATGTTTAAAGCTTGACGTTTCCCCATCTCTTTGTGGGTACATGCAGTCAGTTTTGGTGGTCTGGGGGGGACTTTTGCTTAGCTTGGAACAAAGGAAGGAGGGGGGAAAAAAAACATTTGTGGTCTCTGCTTCGAAATGGAGCCCCCGGGTCTGATCCTGTGGCCCCATTTGGTGACTCGGCACCGCTCAGCACCAGGGGTGGGACCGACCCTGCAGTGCATCACGGCTCAGAGCAGACTGCCCTGGCTTTTACTCGATGCAACCTGCTAAGAAAAAAAAATAAAAAACAAAAATATATATAAACCTGTGGTTTTTCTAAGCAGTCTCCCCTGGAAAACCCATCTCAGCCTAGCCGGAGTCAATTAGAAAGGATTTTCAGCTAATTGAAATGCGTGTGTTCGCCCAGGAAGCCGCAGGTCACTCGAGGTGAGTGGTTTGTGTCATCGGGCTCCCGGGCTACGGCCAGAAAATTGCAGGTGCTCCAGTTACTGCTGCTGGGGGAGCCTGCTGCCTCTTGCGTAATGCCCTACGTGAGCGTGCGTGTGCGCTCGCAGCTCGCCGTGCTGCAGAATAAATCGAGGAGCGGGTGGGAGGAGGTGGGTGCTGCCGTGGCCGGGGCTCATCTCCTGTACCAGCACGTCTGCAGCAGCACAGCTAGCAAAAAAAATTAATCATTTAATCATTTTTGCTCTTGTTTTCCCATCCATGGGTGTAAAGTGATGTTGAGTTGAGTGTCCTCATGGGGAACGTGATGCAAAGCCTGCTCGGCCCTTCTGCAGACTGGTCTGTGTTGGGTTTTTTGGAACAGGGGGAAGCAATGACCGGGTCCATGCTCACATCCCGACCAGCTCCAGGTCAGGGCAGCCAAGCCAAAAGCAGGGCCAGGCCCTGGGCCACCAGGATGTCCTCGGTGAGACACCAGCGTGCAGCAAACACGAGGCATGGGAGCAGACTGGTGGTCATTGCTGTGGGCCTGAAGCTTTCGAGACGCAGGAATATTTCTGGAAATTCCTGGCGGCTGCCAAAAACCCAGGCAGCAGCAAATAAAGAAACCCCATGAATCAGAGCAAGTTCGCTTTGCTTTGCTAAAGCATGGCAAACCTGCAAATAACAGGGATGTTTTCCTCCTCCAGCAGCCCTGCTTCTAATACTGAGTAATGAGTGGAGATTTTAAATGCTCGTGGCAAAATGGATAACAAAGATAAATCCCGTCTAAGTGACAAAGCGAGTTCACACGTAACATAATGGCGTTGCTGCCCTGTTTGTGAGCCGAAATGTAGCTTAAATGATTATTGCTTTGGCAAAAGTAAAAACAGGCCATTAGCCGGCAGGGTGGGACGGCCGCAGTCGCTGCCTTTGTAATTAAACCCTTCTCCGGGGCTGTGTTTGCTAGCAGCTTGCTTCAGCTTTGGTGACAGAGTCGCTGTGACCGGCATTTTTAGGGTCAGAATTGGGGTGCGTGGAGCTTTGGGAGCTGGTGGGGGCACAGCAGCATCCCTGCTGTGGCTGGGCTCAAACCTGAGCTCGGCCATGCCAGCCTTGTCTAAAAGCCTGCAGAAAATAGGGTTTTTTTGAGGGCTTTATGGCCAGCGCAGGCACCACGTCTGCATGTGTGGCCGTAGATGTGTGTGGTGCCGACGCACCCACGCGCATGGGTGTGCAACCTCGCCTGGGGTGCAGGCACGCAGAGCCCTGAAAAAGTCTCCCTGATCGGTGGGGGGGCAGTTTGGGGCAGCTTTCTGGTGGTTTGGGGCAATTTGGGTGCAAGGAGTGTTTTTGCGATATATATGAAAGAACAAACTCTTAAGGTTTGGGTGCAAGAAAAAGAACAAGGGTGCAACAAAAACACACCCCACAGGGGTGAATGGCCCCTGTACAATGATAACACACCCCACAGGGCTGTAAGGCCTCTTCCTTTTGGACCCAACGCTGTTGCTCACTTTTTTTTTACAAAGATTTTTTACTTTTTTACAAAATTACAAAGCCTTCTATGGCTACCTAAATGCGCCCATTGAGCCAGGCTTCATGTCTATCCCATCCCACAGGACTTCTCCGAATTAATACCTAGAGCTTAACTTCTGAAAAAAATAAATAATAATAATAATAATATCCCATCCCAGGGATGTGATTTAATGATTTAAACGTTTTTGGAGATGCAAATGGCTCCCAGAGAGCTACCATGGTTGTCCTTGCAGCTGAGCAGGAGCAGGGGGGAGGCCGGGTCCCGTTGGGTTGTGTGCTGAGCTGGTGTCTCGCAGAGCGCGGGGTGAGAGCCGCTGGCTCCTCAGCACCGCTCCCAGCCGTGCCACAGCGCTCATGGGGAAAAAATGCGCAGTCCCTCTCAAGAGAAAAGCCGAGATTTCCAAATTCCATTCTGTCCTAAACCGTCCGAGTTTTTCACCAAACAAAGCGCTTCGTTTCGATGTATGTTATGTTGCTGTAGCAATAACATTTAAACAAAGTGTTTTCGCTTTATTAGCACAGACCTTTTCAATAACTTCCCATCCAGCGTTCCCGGGAAATGTTTCTGCTCCTTGAAAGGGGTGCCGGGAGCACGGCCCGATCCTGGCCAGCACTCCCTGCCTCGGTAACATCCCCCAAATCCTCCCCTGCAGGAGGGGAGATCTCCCGCTGTCTGTCCATGCCCTGCACATCCCAGGGGTTACCCAAAATTAGTGGGAAGAGCACCCTGCCAGCTCAGCCTGCATTTTTGAAGTCACTTTTTTGAGATTTGTAGGTTTTGAGCTCAAAAAGCGAGCCTGCAAGAGCCCCATTTCGGCACAGCTGAGGTTGGAGGAGAGGGGGCGGGGGGCAGAGAGGATTAAAGGTGTGTCGGGAGATGGGTTACAAAAACCTGTCTGCTGGTAATTACACGTGTTGTGTTATGAAAAACTGGTTTGAGGGCAAATGCTCTAAAATATTGCTCTGGGGAGAGAAAGACAGCACAGGTTGTGAAACACAGCTCGCGTATTGTTTTACAGCTAAGGTAACTTCTGTCCCCAGGGCTGTGTTTTACAGCGGCTGCAAGAAATCAAACCCCGGCTCGCACGCCTGGGCTGCAGTTCTTGTGGGGCAGAAGCACGCAGCGTGCTTGGTACCATCGGAAAATCAGGTTTGGGGGCGGTTCCTGAGATAGATGCAGTCTTATTTTTTGGGGGACGGGAAAAACATTTGGGAGACCGCATGGGCTAATCCTAAGTAACCCTGAGGTTCGACTTTTTGGCCCCATTTACCTGTTTATTCCCCATTTGCTCCCTGTCCTAAAAAAAAAAACAAACCTCTCTTTGCTCTCCCCTGTGTTTCTAACCAGCAGGAGCCTGTCCCCTCCCAGCTCCGTGCTGCCACATTTGGCCACCACGGCTCCTGACGTCCCTTTCCCCAGACGAGAACATCTCAGGGACCATGAGCTGCCCTGTGCCAGTCCCCACACCCATGCTCTTTTTGGGGCACAATGAACCATCCCTGGTCCCCATATTTCCAATTTAGCACCCTGCACAAGAGCTTTCTCTCGTTTTAATGCTTGCTGCTGGTGCAAACACCATGCCTGGTGCATGCTGGGTCTGCGTCCCCTCCTCTCCACCTATTTGTCCCCATGGTGCTGGACCAAATGGAGCAAGGAAAAAAAAAAAAGAAATAAAAAAGAAAAAAAAAAAATGGGGAGCCTGGGTGAAGGCACACCTGACTGAGGTGTCTCCTGGACAGGGTGGCCCTGCTGGACACCACGAGAAGGAGATGCTCCCGGGGGTGGCCAGGATGGTCGCTGTGCCCTGCCTGGTGGTGGGTTTTTGGGGACAGCCCCAGGACTGTCTGTCCTGCACGGCGCCTGCTTTCTGGTGGGAACTGCCGGGACAGAATTAGAAGTAGGCTGAACTTTATCTACAACGTGAACTGAGTCTGAACCCGGCCCTGTTTTGCTTTGGTTCTTCCAAGGTCACAGGAGTTCATGGGGAGAGAGGCAAGGGGGGGGCACTGGATTATTTTTTTTTAACTTCTTTCTGTGCGTTTGCTGGCGTTGGCCAGCCTCATCCGCAGGGAAATGCTGGAGGGCCATGGGAGAAGCTCTCCTCGCAGTGTTTCCATCCAGTGGCACTCGACCAGACCTCAGAGCCCTGCAGAGAGCAGCCCTGCGGCACCTCCGCCACACATCTCCGGGGTCTCCTTCTTTCTTTCAATGCACAAAAGACAAGCAGCCCACCTCCTTGTGCCTTCAGATCCAAAATAAACCTGATACAATGAGTGCTGATGTGCCACATCTGTGGATCCACCTCCAGACCATCCTGGGATGTGTTGGGGTGGCTCGAACACACGTTTATTTCACACTGGATATTTACTCTGGGGCTTCCCAGCTCTTCCTTCCCCAAGCTCAGCCTGCATCCAGCCCAGCCCAGGGAGGCCAAAGGGGAAAGCAGAGAGGTTTTGGTGTTGTTTTGGTGGGTAGCACAGCGTGCAGTGCCCGAGTACCTGGTGCTGCAGGTGGGGGTTTCCCTGCCAGCCCTTTTAGAGAACTGGCCAACGAGACATTGCCCCCGGTGCAACGGGAGAGCTCCCAGCACCTCCCACTCAGCCCATCTTCTCTTCTGGGAACGGACGTGAGGCTTCACCGCCTGGCTGTTTCACCTCCTCGATTACTCAAGAGTTATTAGAAACCTTAGCAAAGCACTCTAATTTTAACAAAGAGGCCTCCCAGATCACTGACAAATTTAGGGAATGCACGGGGCAGACTCATTTCCTGGAATGGGAGCTACTGGAGAAAAAGTCCCTCTCGGCTGGCTCCTAACTATGACACATTTGATAGCCATTCAAGGACTACTGGGAATCGTGTCATTTGTCTCCGTGAGGCTTCAGACAGAGTTTCATCATCAAGTCTGACTGCTGCGTGAAACAAAAACCACCAGCACCCACTAGCAGCAGTAAAACCTCTTCCATTTTCGTAGAGTGTGCAGTGAGGGTTATTTCTTTTTCCTGATCCATCAGGGCAGCAGGACTCAGTGTTTTACGCAGAGGATGCAGTGCCC